GGTGCCGCCGCGGGGCGGCCCCGCGCGGGGAAGCGGGCTCCGCGGGCAGAGGCGACGGGCCTGCAGCGGAAGCGGTCCGAGGAGCCGCCCTGCGGCTCTCCCAGGGATGTGCGCCACCACCACCTCCACTCCTCCTTCCTCCTCTCTTCCCTCCTCTCCCTCTCCTCTGTCGTGGGAGAGGGAGGGGGAGAGGGAGGTGGTCGTAGTGGTGGTGGTGGTGGTGGTGGTGGTGGTGGTGGTGGTGGTGGTGGTGGTGGTGGTGGTGGTGGTGGCGTGTGTACGTATCTTACACATATAAGTAGCGTTTTCTTTTAGCCCCGTACTTTCGAAGCCCTCTCCGAAGACAGAGTCGGCGTCTCAGAAGGCCGCAGGGCTTCTGAGAAGCCCCGCCGGCTTTCTGAGAGGACCTGCCCCCTCTCATTTCCCGCCCTCTGCGCGCCGCTGGCTCAGCGGTCCGGCCCCCGCACGCTTTTGGGACCTCGGAGGTCCCCGTCCCCCGAAGCATCCGTCGAGATGGCCCACGTCTCAAAACTGTGCGGCCACCCCACGCTGCCTTCTGGATCACCCGACGGTTCGAAGGCACCGTGTCAGGATTTCCGCCTGGAGGAGGAGGAGGAGGCGGAGGAGGAGGAGGAGGAGGAGGAGGAGGAGGAGGAGGAGGAGGAGGAGCGCGGCGCGGACCAGGAAGACCCTGCTGCTACGACCGCCCCGCGCCTCATCAGCTCTGGTGGGGCCCACGCTTGATGACGTGCCCGCTCGAGCTGTTGTCGGACTCGCCAGAGCCGTCGCCTCCCCCCGGGCCTCCGCCGAACATGGTAGCGAGGGACACGCCGTTGCCGCTGGCCTTGGCCTGCTGGTACTTTTGGAAAATGAGGTATAGGAACGCGCCGACGACCATCATCCGCACGACGCCCTGCTGGCCCGTGGCCCACAGGGCGGCGAGGATCCCTCCGACGAGCAGGTAGACGAGGGGCACGTCCGCCTCTCCAATGCCGAAGATAGGGGAACGAAAAATGGCATGAACTTAAAAACTCGGAGTTCCGCACGGATTTCTTGGATCCGCGCTGGACCCCCCGCCCCTGGCGCGCGGAGCGCGCCAGGGGCGGCGCTGGAGGCGCCGCCAGGGGGCCCCGGCGCCGATCCGAGAAATCCGCGCGGACCTCCGAGTTCTATGTTCATGTCGCTGTTCGCTCCCCTGGCAGAACCCGCCTACCTTCTGCGTCCTCCCGTGGATGCCCAGCGCACGCGCCAGGTCCCCCGTCAAGAGGTCCTCCGAGGGCTGGGCGCCCGCAGGCGGGGCGCCCGCGCCCTGCGCCCGGGCGCCGCCCGGGGCCGCGGCAGCGCCGCCGCCGCCGGAGCCGCCCGGCGAGGAGTGGATCCCCGCCGGCCTGTTGGCGAAGCCCTGGCCGGAGCCGCGCGGGGCGGCGCCCGGGGCCGCCGCCTGCTTGGCCCTCGGGTCGTTGTCGGGCACGATCTCGCCGCTGGTCGGGTGTTGCCAGGAGTGGCCCTGGCCCAGGGGGGCTCTCCCAGCGCGCCGCGCCCTCCCGAGGCCCCTGGGGCGCCCTCTGGGCCTCGTGATGGGGTGCTCTGGAGGCCAGCAGGGCCTCCCCAGGAATCGCTGGGACGCCGGATAGAAAGCAGAACACCCGCCCTCGACACGCGAAGCCGCTTCGTAGACGCGCCCAAAGCAGGAATCGAACAGGGCAGGGCTGTTTCGGAAACGTTTAGTAAGCACCCATGATCGGGTCCGGGTGTTTTTTCCTCCCTTGGCCTTGGGTTAGTCGGGCCTTCCCCTCTACAGGGGGGAAATTCAAAACTAGTCAGAAAATAGTCAGGGGACGATTTCTGCACCTTTTTGAATTTTTTTTCGGCATTTTGGGGGTATTCTTAATTCTTCGTCCAAAATCCGTTTGTAAGGGGACAGGCCCGACCTAAGCCTTGGGCCAGGGACACCTTTGGCAGCACCTGAGCTGGGCAGTATCTTCACCATGCCGCCCGCGCCCCGCGCGCGCCGCGGCGGCGCCTGCGGCCCTCGCAAGGGGCCCGCGGGGGACGGGGGGGGGTCGCCCGAGGAGGCGCCGCCGTGGCGAGCACGGCCTGAGGCAGAAAGGCCGCGGCCCGTGCCTCCCGTGCCGCTCCCCGGAATCCTCAAGAGCACGTCCGGGTCCCCCTCTGAGGCCCCCGTCCCGAACTCTCCGAGGAACTCCCTCCTCCGCCTCCTCTTCCTCCTCGCCTCCCTCCTCCTCTTCTTCTTCTTCCTCTTCTTCTTCTTCTTCTTGTTCTTCTTCTTCTTCCTCCTCCTCCTCCTCGTTCTCGTCCTCGACCTCGTCTTCGTCTTCGCCCTCGCCCTCGTCCTCGTCCTCGTCCTCCTCCTCACCACCATCATCATCATCATCATCATCATCATCATCATCATCATCATCGTCATCATCATGATCGTCATTTACATCATCATTTACACCATTATCATCATCATCATCATCATCATCATCATCATCATCATCATCATCATCATCATCATCATCATCATCTTCATCATCGCCATCATGATTCTTATCATCGTCATCATAATCACCACCATCATCATCACCATCATAATCATCATCATTATCATCATCATCATCATCATCATCATCGTCAACATCACAATTATCATCACTGTCGTCATCAGCATCGTCATCATAAGCATCATCATCATCATCATACTCATAAGCGTCATCATCATCATCAACAGCATCAAACCATCATCCTCATCCTCATCATCACCAACATAATCATCATCACCATCATCATCATCGTCGTCGTCATCACACTCATCATCATCAGGAGGAGGTGGGAGGAGTCGGCGCGGTCAGAGTAATAACAAGAATTCAATCCTCAGGAATGGCCACCAAAACAAGCAAACCACTCGAGACATCCTCGTAATCTGCCCCCCTCTCCCCCCCTTGAGGTGCGAACACCAACCTCTCGCCCGAGACATTCTCAACTTCTGCTCCGAAAGCGGAGGATGTTGGGGCAGGAAATTGGCACACCGCTCGAGACAACCACGTCATTACCATTCATCGTTCGTATCATCCTCATCTCTGACCTCATCATCATCATCATCATCATCATCATCATCATCATCATCATCATCATCATCATCATCATCATCATCAGCATCATCAGCATCACCATACTTATCCTCATCGTCATCATCATCACCATCACCACCATCACCACCACCACCATCATCGCCATCATCACACTCACCATCACTGTCATCACCAGCGTCGTCGTCATCATCAGCGTCATCATCAGGAGGAGGAAGGAGGAGGAGAAGGAGTCGACGCGGTCTGAGTAATAACGATACCCCCATCCTTAGGATATGGGGAAAACCTGAATCCTCGAACAGCCCCATGCTCACCCATCTCTTCTGTGCGCAGGCCACATGCGGAAGAGGAGGAGGAGGACGAGGGTGAGGAGCATAGAGGAGGGGGAGAGGGGAGGAGGATGGAAGGCCGGGGGAATGCAGAACAGGAGGACAGCAGGGAGGAGGAACAGGAGGATGAGGAGGAAACACCATCCTCCCCGCTCACCAGACCCCCTGAGACGGCACCGCAGTGCCCGTTCCCCCGTCTGGGCAGCCCGCCTTGTATCTGACGAGCAGCTCGCGCGCCTCTCCGCAGGTGAGCCGGAAGGGCCCCCTTCGGCAGGGCAGCCACAATTACAAGGACAGCGTGATCTGGACCCCTCCACTTCCTCCTCCTCCTGCTCCCTCCTTCTCCTCCTCCTCCCTCCTCCCTCCCTCCTCCCTCCCCTTCCTCCTCCTCCTCCTCCTCCTCCTCCTCCTCGTCCTCGTCCTCGTCCTCGTTCTCCCTCTCTCCTTCTTCCTCCTCCCGCATGGGTTGGCATGCGTTGGCATGCATTGGCCCCCGCGTCTTAGTGGACCTCTGCCCCAGCAAGATCACTTCCCTTCGGGATGCCGCCCCCTAGGAGCCCAGATCCAGGGATCGCTAAGGAGGGCTGAGGGGTGAGGAGGGAGGGTAAGGAGGACCAGCAATCGGACCAGTAGGAAATCTGCCTGCAGGAGAGCGTGTTTTCGGTCCCTGCGTCGTTGCTGGCGTTATCAGGTCCGCTGGATCCGTACCCTCTCCAGTTTTGGGTCATGATTTGGACCCCCCCCTTTCACACAGCCATAATTACCCCAGGGGATCGGCGAACGGGGAATCCAATCTTGAACCCAACTGTCAGCCCGTGCTAATCCTTCTTCCTCCCTCCTCCCTCCCTCATATCCTTCCTCCTTCACCTCCTTCTCCATCCTTTCCCTCCTGCTCCTCCGCCTTGTCCCTACCCTCCTCATTCCTCTCTTCCCTCCTTTCCCCCGGCCCTCCGTCCTCTCCTTCCCCTCTATGGCATGCTTGTCCTGCTCTTGCCTCGTTCTTCGACTCCTCGTCCTCGTGCTCCTTCTCATCCCCTCTCTCCTCTCTCCTCTCTCCTCTCTCCTCTCTCTTCTCTCCTCCTCCGCCTCCTCCTCCTCTTTCTTCTCCTCCTCTCCTCCTCCTCCTCCTCCTCCTCCATCTTTCCCCATTTACCTTCGCTTTTTCTTGTCCACCTCCTTCCGCCCCCCGCCAAGAACCTCCAAGAACACCCTGGTGGAATCTCCTAGACCCTCCTCGAATCCGACCGTGACCGTCCATCCGTCCACCTCTTCCTCCTCCTCCTCCTAATTACTCTTCCTCCTCCTCCTCCTCCTTTTTTCTCCTTTCCCTCCTCCTCCTCCTCCTCCTCCTCCTCCTCCTGCTTCTCTTCTGCCTGGCCGCGGCCTCGGTCTCTCTTTCGCGCGGGTTCGACAGCTGAGGATCGCAGTGACGGACGTGGCTCTTACGCGCGCTCTTGTCGCACAGTCAAGCTAACTGCCATGAGGAGCGCTGGCTCAGGAACGAGTCCCCTAACTTCCCCCCCCCCCCCACATGTTCCTCCACGGTGCAGTGCGGAGGAATGAGTCCCCTAACTATTGTCCTCCCCAATGATCATCTTTTAACTGATCCCCATCCCCACCAGCGTGGGCTGGGCCCTACTGGCCGATTTATCCCCCTGGATGGGGATATAGGCTGCTCTCTTCGGGTTTCGAGGGGCGTATCCCCAACTCAGGTGGTGAGACGGTTGGGCTCGAGATGTGGATGGGGATGGGGATAGGGGTCGGTTCAGCGATACCGACCCAACGCGCAGTGGTGCTCGAGGGCCGTTGGAGGCACAGCCGCGAACACACCTGAGGAATAGCGAGCCCCCTCCTGAACCCGAACAACGGCTCCTTGCGTCGTCAGCGCCTCGACCTGCACGGCAGGCCTTGCTGCCTTTCTCCGTCCCCGTCTCTCCTGACGTGGACGGGAACGGCGACCCATGCCTGGATAACCCGCTCGCCTGCGTTTCCTTCCCTAGGGGAGCGAGAAATGACATAAACATGACAATTCGGAGGCTCGCGCGGATTTCTTGGATCGACGCTGGACCCCCCTTCCCTGGCGCGCGGAGCGCGCCAGGGGCGGCGCCAGAGACGCCGCCAGAGACGCCGCCAGGTAGCTCCAGCGCGGATCCGAGAAATCCGCGCGGACCTCCGAGTTTTTATGTTTATGCCATTGTTCGTTCCCCGATTCCCGTCAGAGGAGGCCACTCCGTTGACAATCCGCGGCCATTTAGGACTCCCGCGTGGATGTCGCCGGCGCGGGAGGCCCCGAGGACCTCCGGCGGTTCACCGCGACGGCCAGGCCGAGGTCGCGTCTCGCACTTGACCAGGCGAAGGCAACGCTGCATGATGGAAGGCCGACCTCCACGGGATCCATTGCGACGTCGACAAGGGCCGCGACGGTATGCTGACTGAGGCGGCGTTGGTGCACGGGGCGCGGCAGCCGCATGACCCCTTCCGACTGCTGCATCCGACGAGCGGAGCAGCATCTACAAGAGCTGCGTCCACGGAGCAGGCGAGCCGAGGGGCGTGGTGAGCGTCGCCCGCCAGCCCTGTCAGTCTCGTGCACCTCTCATTGACGAGCAGGCTAGTTGTGTTCTTGCGTGTCCTGCGTTTAATGTGCAGCTCGCACCTCCGCAACTCGTGCCGGAGGTGTGCTGTCGGCTCCTTCTGCGCTCGCGTGCTTCTGCATTGCCGGCCTGGCGCAGATGCGCCGACGCCGTTCCCAATATGGCTGTCTGCGCTGGTGCAATTCTGCCCGCAACTGCAGTCGGGGGAGCTTTCGCTCAGCGTGTCGCGGCGCCAGCTCTGGCCCACCTTCGCCTCGGCGCGACACGCTGTCCGCTTCGCGGTCCCCCGGCGTCCACACGCCGAGCCTCTCCCGGCCTCCCGCCATTGCGAGCTCCTGCGCGCCCCTGCGCAGGGGCCTCTGCGCCCTGCGGCTCTGCGCTCCGCGCGCATAGGTGCCTCCGCCCGCCGAAGCGCGCCCGACCACCGCGGGGCGCGGCGGGGCGCGCCCAGCTGCGCGCGGAGCAGCGCGCGACGAGCGACGAGCAGGCGTCGGCGGCCCAGGCCAGCAGCGAAGGCAGCGGGCAGGCGGCAGCCAGCGGAAGCCTCCCCTGTCGGCCTGGCTCCCTCTTCCCCCCTCCGCTCCTCCGCGCCCGTGGGCCGCTGGGGCCTCGTCGGGCTGCGCCCGCTCGGCTTCTCCGCTTGCCCTCCTCCTCGCTCGTGCCCCCCTCTCATGGCGCCTGGGCGCCCGGGGACGAGGAGCAAAAGGAGAAGCGGCACCACCCCTGAGATCCTGGCGCCTCGTCTTTTTTTCCAGCCAGGCGATGTCGTATCCGTTCGGGCCCTCAGGACCCGAACAGATACGAGGGTCCCAAGGTGGGATCTGCGAGGGTCCCAGGCTGGGGCCCTCGCAGATCGATCCGGCTCGAAGAATGACGCAAACGGATGGGGTCTAGGGCTCCAGGCGTGTTTTTTACGGTGTTCCATTTTTTCGCTACGTCGGATCCCAAGGACCACCACCCGGGATGACTGCGAGCGGGAAGGGAGGGCCAGGGGGGGACCCCTGGTCCTCCCTCTCGCTCGAGGCATCCCTGGTCCCCAGCTCGGGCAGGCGTCGTGCACCTCTTCGCTGGATGTGCCCCGCCTGGTGGTGGTGTCACTTCTCCTTCCCCGCCGACCCCCTTCCTTCGGCGGTGGACAAACCCCCCTACAGTAAACCTCCCCTTCATGAAAACGGCCTGGGACCGAAACCGACGGACCTGGACCCGCAAACATGACGGCCGCGACGCCCTCTCGCGAACCGAAAACGGCCAGTTCCTTAATCGACGTGTCAGGGTAGGAAGTCTATCCACCTCCGATTCCTCCCATCCACTACGGTCATCGGGAGCGGCCAAGAGGGGGGTGTCCAAGAGGGGGGGTGCAAATCATGACTGGCGGCATGTGCGCGGCCCCCAGCGGGGGGGGCCAGGGACGTCATGAAATAAGAGGAGGCGCCATGAGATCTGGGGAGATCTCATGGCCCCCGCCATGATATCCACCCCCCCCCCTTAGTCATCGCCCCCCTCTCTCCCGCCCCCGAGGTCGGGGACCCTCGCCTGGCGTGTCGCGGCGGCGGCGGCCCCCGGCGACACGCTGCGCCCTGCAGGCGGCCGGCGTGCTGCTCTTTCCCCTCGCAGGGCGGAGAGGCCTCGAGTGGGCTCGGGGCGCGGACGCTCGGGGGCCGGGGCTCGGTCCGCGTGTCGGGCCGAAGGAACCGAACTTGATTGAAGGGGCCCAGGGGCACACACAAATAAATATACACAAATCCGCCGGCCCCCTTGTGGGGCCACCAGGCTGTAGGCGCGGGTTCGCAGTTTCCTGTGCCAGTTGTAGCTTGTAGTTTCCAGTGTTACAGTTCTGCTTCTTGCTGGTTACTGTAACTAGTTGATTGACCGCGAGAGGGGGGGGAGGCCCAACCAGATATGTTAGCACTCCTGGGCGCGTTTCTGAATTGCTGGGGGCTCGAAATCGACAACCCCTCCACAGATCGGCGGGGCGTCAGGGTCAAATTAGCCTGGCGAAGGAACCAACCATATGAAGTGTGCGAGTACACGCACGGATATGGAGGACGAAGGAGAGGGGGCACGCAAACTAGGACCCTCTTCTCATAGGGCACCGCGCCAAGGGGGCCTTCGGTGGACTCCCTTATGGGGCCCCGAAGCGTGTGAGGGGTGTGCCGACAGGGGTGGTGGGGAGGCATGCGAACCCTGCCACTGGGGCCTTCGGTGGAGCTCCCTATGGGGCCACGAAACGTGTGAGGGGTGTGCCAGAATGGGGGGTGGAACCGCATGCGGGCGCAGCCACTGGGGCCTTCGGTGGAGCTCCCTATGGGGCCACGAAAAGTGTGAGGGGTGTGCCAGAATGGGGGGTGGAACCGCATGCGGGCGCAGCCACTGGGGCCTTCGGTGGAGCTCCCTATGGGGCCACGAAACGTGTGAGGGGTGTGCTGAAATGGGTGGTGGGGAGGCATGCGGACCCTGCCACTGGGGCCTTCGGTGGAGCTCCCTATGGGGCCACGAAACGTGTGAGGGGTGTGCCGAAATGGGTGGTGGGGAGGCATGCGAACGCAGCCACTGGGGCCTTCGGTGGAGCTCACTATGGGCACGAAGCTGTGAGGGTGTGCTGAAATGGGTGGATGGGGAAGAATGCGAACGCAGCCACTGGGGCCCTTCGGTGGAGCTCACTATGGCGCCACGA